CAAATATGCAATCTAAGTGTTGTGTATCGTGTTCTATTGTCCTGTTACATTATCATTCTTTTTCTTTTTGTCTGTCTAGCGCCCTCGTGATGCCAAAAATATCTCAAATCTCAGTATTCTATCTGTGGGATTTTGTACCTTCGCTCATGAGTCGCTCCACCGCCTAGATACAGTACATTGACAACACCTTAAATGACAGCTCGAAGCTTGATGGATGCCCGGGCCAACGGGCCCACAATGTGAACCAGAGCTCGTTACAGCTGTAATAATACCACGTCACAGCACTCCTCTCATTTACTTCCTCATCCATCCACACCAGCGCCGATGCAGCTCCGCACAATAGAATCTCACAATCATCCTTGTTGAATATTATACTTCAATTCCCTCAATTCGAGAATGTTGACTCGATGGTAAGCTCCATAATTAATCTACTCGCCGCCCGCTCCTCTGGCTCCTATGCTCAAGCTCTCAGCGGTCCCATCTCTTCCCATCTGTTACCTCTTCGCCTTGGAAAAAATTCAATAACAATCACGTCAATTCATGCAGCATGTGCAACTGTCAGCCAACTATCGATTCCAGGCTCTTTTGGACTGTTCGGCCTTTTTTAATTGGTTTCCCCAAGGTTTGTGCCGAATGCTTAACTTTCTTCCTTCCCAGCGGTGAGCGTGGACTACATAATAATTAAGATATGAATCTATCTTGTTAGACACCCGTTGGACAACTTGCATTCCGAATTGAGCATTCTTGAAGCGTACCGGGCTGCCATGGACTCGTTCCCTTCTCCAGAAATTCAGCAGAAAATTCTTCGTAAGTCAATTACTCTATGCACTTGTTACTCGATTACCTAGCTCAAACTTTCTTCCTTCATCGTCTTTGTTTTACCTCCCTCAGTGTCGGCCTACGCAGGAATGTCTTTTGCTGGCAGTACAACAGTTTTAAGGCTTGTTCTACGTATTCGAAACCTCAGAGGGGACGACGCATTAGCTGCCTTAGCTCTCATATCCCTCATCATAACCGCTGTAGTCGGGAAGACGTACTATGCGATCAACGGTATGTTTTCTTATCTTTACCATGTTCATCAGAACTGAGAAGGTACTGTCTGTACTAGACTCCAGTACGATACCCCAGAGCTCACGCGTTGCACTGTATTACATCTTTGCTGTCACATTCGATATTACCATTTGGACATCTCGTCTATCCATACTTGCCACGATCATTCGCCTAGGTTCATTTAGAAAACAGCTCTACACGGCGGCTGGATGTTTCACGATTGCTCTTCTTATTCTCATCGCGCAAGTCTTTTGGGTTTGCGAGCCTCAAAATAATCACAATCATTGGAAGGCAGATCCGGTGTGTAGTTTCTTTTAAGCAGACTCGCTACACACTGACGATTTTCGATGTCTGTGTAGGTACCACAATGTGTACTAGGGAAGAGTGTGGCAATCACGCAAGTGACGAGTGAGAACATTTTTTGCATGCTGGCTATCTTTTAAGAAAGGCTAACATTCGTGTGTAGCTGATGTATTTGCAGATATCACTTTAGTTGTATTCCCTCTTATACTCCTGCGATACCTCAAATCCGAGCAGGCACAAGCGGAAAAAATTCGCCTCGGAGTATCCTTCATCGTCGGAGGGCTTACTACTATTGTTTCTATTGTCCATGCAGTCTACCTACTGGGAGGCACACAAATATCAGTCTTGGTTAGCAATGTGGAGGTGAGTCATCCATTGTTCTTGAATCTAATTTCAATGCTCAACCGCAGATAGATGTCCGTCTCAGTGACCATCTCAAATTTTGCTGTTCTCGTAGCTGCATCTCATCGACTCTGGAACTACACTCATCCGCAGCGTGAATTAACCAAGCTGTCTACAATTGCGTATGAGAGTCCTCCACTAAATGGCAGCACATTTAGCAGGACAGGTGGAAGTCATTCTCAACTGGATAGTACTAGCATTGCGAGTACAGGTTCAAAAAGAGGTCATAGAGATATGGAGATGTCCTCTGACACTGGCTCTCTGATTTTTCCCGTGTGAAAGCTCTATAACGGTTCGAGCTTACAGAACTGGCAAGGGCGATACACGGTGTACTTTACTGCAGGTTTCTCATGCTCTACTCAGATTTCATTACCATCGCAACACAAAGTTACTTATACAAAAATCATCTTGAATATCAGATTATGTACGGATGTGCACTGTCGATTCCAGTTTTATCCTCACTTGGAATGCTATAAACAGCTTTGACCGATGTTAAGCGCTCAAACTGTAACTTGCTACCATCAAGTCCTCTCTCGCCTGCTTGTTAATGAGGATAAATTCTTGAGTATTAGTCGCGAGGCGTCTTCCGTTTACATCCAAGCTCTAATGGTGTTGGACAGTGCCGCAGAGTGGGAGCGCCATATGAGAGAAATGGACGGTATAGACTCCTGCTAGCACTATTGTTCCGAGTCCACGTGGAAAGGGTTTTTGACGCGTTAAAAAGAAGTTATAGCGATGGATCTCCGAGTCTGCTATAGTATACAAGTATGTACATGTTTTCCTTAGCTATATCAGCACACGCTGATCATCATGTATGACCAAAACACTCCTAGAACCTTCAAATTCAACTCATCACAACTTGGCATTCAGCTTATCCAACCGATTAGGGATCCTATTATGGTTGATACCTACAGCTTCGACCGCCGTTATCGGCCGCCTGCATAATTTAAAAGAGTTTTTAAGCCTAACAGTATACGCAACTCTTTGTTTAAGTACTACAATATAAGTACTCTAAAAGATGTTTTTGTTGTTTGCTAGTGATATACTTGGAGTATTAGGCAGCCCAATTACCAGCATAACTTGATCATGCAGTAGTGATCATCAGCAACTGTACATCACATACATTCGTTGTCTGAGCAAGATAGTAATCAGAGACTCCAGAGACATCTGAGAGTTGACAGCTTTTGACAGCTGTCAGAGCTGGAGATCTGGAGACTCTGAGACAACAGTTGCAGATATGTCTCAAACACATGATGTATCAGTCGTTCCCTTTTCCACCGCTGAGATGATATTTATGTTGTGCCCTGAATGTCCGCGCAATCTCCTGGTCATTTATCTGCTCTAGAATTGTCTCGCGCGATTGTGCTCCCTGGCGGAATATGTTGTTGGATGAAATTGATGGCTACAGAAACATGAGATTCAGTAGTAGGTCAAAGCTTATCTCGGATGTAGTACCTTTGTCTAGATCATCTACATTGCAAAGGTATGTCAGTAGTGATTTTGACTCCTAGTGAAGGAGTGCAGAAGAGGCAAGGCCCCCCGCTATTTGAAATCTGTCGTATGTACTTACCTTCTTCTTTCTCGCCCACACTTCTGGCCCCTAACGCATTCTGTATTTTATCCGAAATGCCCTCGATGCCGCTGTTCAGCGAATGCCCATCACTAAAGCGAGAATCTGCGGCATTTGTATCCAATTTTGTGCTGGTAACTGTCTTATCCGCGATCCTTTCCGCTAAACCCAAGCTGTGATTCTGAGTCGCTGCATGAGCAGAATCATGACGTGAACTCGCATGATAAGCCCTCGAGCCCAGTTTATCCAAAAGACTCTCTTCATGCGCTTCCGGTGGTAGAGAGAATGCCTCATCATGAGCAGGAGGAGGTTGGCTATGCCCAAGTCCGAGTTTCTCGAACATTTCCAATGGAAGGTGATGATGTGCGTCTTTCTCTGTCTCGCTCTCTGCTCTTCTCCGTGTCACTTCATCCTCTTCCTGTCTCTGTCGCTCCGACGTTTCAGAAGGAGTACTAGAAGCAGTTTCAACGTCGTTGTGAGAAGGTGGAATCAGACCAGTGGACCCAGCATGATGCTGCATCTTCACTAGGGCGGCGGGAGCAGCACCTACCCATTGCGGATGGGTTTTAGCATCATGATTCGTGTCAGTGACCTGCGGTACTACCGTGATTTCATGGAAAACCCCGGTGAGCTTGTTCATTAGTCGCTCCGTGTTACCATGATCAGCAGTATCGTGCTTAGTCGAGTAGACCGCAGACAGCGTCGTGATTCTCCTCCTCCGGCAGGCCCAGCATCGAGGTAAGCTTTTCAGAGAGTGGGTTATGTGCGTGCATACTGGCCGAGTTGTTCCTTGGTAATGTTGGTCCCTTTGGATTTTCCAATCCAAGGCTAAGTAAATGATCCATTTCAGCACAGTACTACGTCGCAAAGCAGCGGATGATGGTGGTTCGTGTTCAAGAGTTCTTGAAAGGCGGGACTGACGTCGATGATGCAACATCGTGAACAACGCCTCTCATCACGGAGAATGAATTAACGTTGGAGTATTAGGCTAGAAGAAATCAAAGGATGCCGTTCATACTTTAATCTCCCATTGATACTTCATATCGATATTTGCCAGTGTGCAATATTGCTGAGCCAATACCTCAGGATTACTGATGAAAAAGAATGAACAATGCGGGAGGATGACGTTGGAAAAGGACGCGAGGGATTGGGAGATATAGCACCGCTGGCTAGTGCTTAAGTACATCAGGCGAGGCAATGTGAAGGCCAGCTTGAAACGACTGGAGGTATGGAGTGAAAGGTGTTCAAGCTAGATAGGCAGCGGTTTGCGAAGTTTCGCCAGCGAGTAATCGGCTAACAAAAAGAAACAGTGTTGCTTATCGGTATGATATTGCTGATTCTGCTTGAATTTGCGTGGAGTGGCAGACACCGAGATCAAGGAAGACCCACATAATGAGCTCGTGTCACCATACCGGGCCCCTCGAGCTGAGTTTGAGTGGAATAAAATATTTGGTCCAAGTCTTGTCTGTCCAGCTGCTTGAAGCCATGATCAGCGAGAGGTTGGCAGAGTCGCTTGCCAGGCTAGGTATCTCCCGATGCGCTTTCCAATAATACGCACGGCGAACACGCACTCATCAAGCGTACATGTTTCGCCTATCTCGTATGAAGTTGGCTGTTTGAGGAAAAACCGTCCACGCTAAAGGGCTATTGTATCATCGTATCGATGACGAGCAAAGCCCTCTTAGCTCAGGGGTAGAGCGTTTCACTCGTATCTGTGTATAACAAGATGTTCGTCATGAAAAGGTCGCTAGTTCAATTCTGGCAGGGGGCATGTCTAAAGGACGAATGGCAAATACTGTCTTAACTTTTGTTTTGCACTCATACACATATCAATAGCACTAAAGCTTCAGTTTGGCGCTTGGGCGCCAATCCCGCGTGTACAATGTGCCTGCCTAATTCGAACGCCGAACCAGCTTTGACCGAAACCACGACCAAGTAGTAGAATGGGTGAGTCTTGTTTCATCTTGTAACGAGTGTATGCTGATGCTAATATCTCGCAGGTATTCCAAAGGTATGTCTCACTAGAAAGTCCTATTGCAGTGCTCTGATCTTTCTGTAGTTCTTTCGATGGATTTCGTACGCCTTTTTACCACCTTTTGCTTAGCTCTTACTGATTGTTACTCTAGAGAACGATACCCCTTGACGTCCCAACTTATTCAGGAAAATAAAATACCTGAATTCGGTGCGTGCTCTGCTTTCTAAATCCGACATCGACTCATTTTCCACGACTCAGACAATCTCTACCTCGACTTTAATGCTATCATCCATAACTGCTCCCACCCAAATGACGGCGACCCTCACTTTCGTTTATCCGAGGAACAAATATTCACCTCCATCTTCTCCTACGTCGACCACCTTTTCACCAAAATCCGGCCGAAAAAGCTCTTCTTTATGGCCGTAGATGGCGTTGCGCCTCGTGCAAAGATGAATCAACAGCGTAGTCGTCGCTTCCGTACAGCAAAAGATGCTGCAGAGCTCAGAGCTAAAGCCGAACGCAAAGGCGAAGTGTTACCAGAAGAAAAGGCCTTTGACAGTAATTGTATTACGCCGGGGACACCATTCATGGCTCGACTCTCGGAACAACTCAAATACTTTGTGAACAAGAAGATTACGGATGACTCTAATTGGAGGGAGGTCGAGGTTGTGCTATCTGGGCATGATGTTCCTGGCGAAGGAGAGCATAAGATTATGGAGTATATTCGACTGGCTAGGGCGCAGAAGGACTACAATCCAAATCTGCGACATTGTTTATATGGCCTCGACGCGGACCTTATTATGCTGGGATTGATCAGCCACGATCCACATTTCTGTCTCTTGAGGGAGGAAGTCAAATTTGGGCCGGCGCGCAAGACTCGAGGCAACTCATCCCTCGAGGCGATAAACTTTTATCTGCTACACCTTTCGCTATTCCGGGAATACCTTGACCTGGAATTCGAGTCCCTCAAAACCAACTCCTCCCTCCGATTCCCCTACTCCCTCGAACGCATCATCGACGACTTTGTTCTCCTCGCCGTCTTCGTGGGGAATGACTTTTTACCAAACCTTCCGGATTTACATATCCATGAAAACGGGCTGGAGAAGTTGTTTGAGATATATAAGAAGGTGAGCTACTTCCCGCATCCCGTTCGTTAGTACTAACATGTCTCAAAGGTCTTACCAACATTAGATGGATATCTCAACGATGCTGGAAAGATCGACCTCTTCCGGCTACAATGTATCCTTGACGAAATGGCCGAGTGGGAAATTGGCGTGTTTGAAAAAGAACATTCCGATCTCAACTGGTATAAGGGCAAGCAGACAAAGTTTAGCCAGCCCCCTGCTACAGCTAACGGCGGGAGCCTCGTCCTTACCGAATCCCAACACGAAATTTTTCGAACCGTAAGAGATTGGGTGAGATCGAAACCAACTTCCAAATCTCCTCTATCGATGCCGAATACGTTCCCCGCCAAGGACCGAGCGTTCATCACCACCCTCGCAAAAGACCTCAATCTTTCTTTGGCTTGGGACGGGTACGACGAACAAGGCAATAACTTGGTTTCGTTGGCTCCCTTTGTCGAGGACGAGGACGACGAGGATGAAGAAGAAGATGATATGGAGGCGCAGGCGGCGGTGTTTCGTGTGCTGAGGAAGTACGACAAAGCGACTGTTCATAACGCAGATTCCGAGGGTGATTTCGACACTCGGGCAGCGAATGCACTTGCGCTCAAGATGGACGAATGGAAGAGGGACTATTACGGCGAGAAACTCGCCATATCGTACGATGATTCTGGAGACATGGGCAAATTGGTGTATCGGTAAACCTCATTCCCTTCCATTCGCTTCCTGTACTGAAATCATGTATAGATACATCGAAGGCCTCCAATGGGTCATGTATTACTACTTCACGGGAGTCAAGTCTTGGGGGTGGTTCTACGACTACCACTACGCTCCGCGGATAGGTGATTTGGGATCAAAAGCTACTTGGGGCAGATCTGGAGGTGACGGAGGCACGAGAGGAATTAGCCACCTGAGCTTTGAATTTGAGCTCGGTCAGCCTTTTAGGCCGTATGAGCAGTTAATGGGAGTGTTACCTATGGCTAGTAGGGAACTTGTTCCCAAGGCGTATCATGTGAGTGCTTATGTCGATCTTTCATCGACGCTTTGCCTTGTACTGACTCCGTCGCCGCCCAACAGGATTTGATGACAAACGCAAATTCTCCAATTGCCTCTTTCTACCCCACCGACTTTGCCCTCGATCTAAACGGTAAAAAAGCCGACTGGGAAGCTATAGTCAAGATTCCTTTTATTGACCAAGTTCTCCTCCTCTCTGCCATGGCTACGAGAGAGAAACTTCTTACCGCTGAAGAAGTTAAACGAAACGGCTTCGGGGTTAGCTGGCGATTCGAATATACGGGAATCAACGCCGAACCGACAGAATACCCAAGTTCACTACCGGGCTTCTTTCCTCCGATACATAGGTGTATGTGTAGGATGGAGGTATTTGATTTGCCGACGCTAGATCCTGACCTTGGTCTCTCACTTGTTGCCGGAGAGTCCTTCCCCTCCGCTGTCGTCTCCGCATCCGCCGTCGGCTTCCCATCTCTCCACACACTCCCGCACACGCACGCAGTGTTGGGGTATCATCATGTTAATGTACATGGGACGGAGAGCAGGAATCAGAGTATCGTGGTGCAAATCAAGAACACATATGAGAGTCGAAAGACAGAGGATATTGGGAGGGAGGTATTGGGAAAACGGACGTTCATTGGATGGCCATTCCTGCAGGAGGGAATGGTGGTTGCGTTGTCTGATGAGCTGTTTCGGTATGAGAAGGTTTTGGTTGGTGGTGGTGTGGGGTCGGAGAAGGTTATTGGGACGCCCCATAATCAGAATGGGTTGGGTTATTGGAAATCTAAAGCGGATAGAATCGAGAATGTGTATTCGAAGAGGTTTGGGGTTGTTACGGGACCGGTTGAGGTGTTGTTGCATGTTAGGCCGTTGAAAGGTATGTTCTTTTGCTATTCTTTCGGTTTAACCAACTCATTACTCGACCCAACCAGGTCTCAAACGTCTAGAAGACGGCTCTTTCATCAAAGACTATGAAGGGATCGACAAGGAAACTGAAGCTGCGGTGCAGATGACAATTTCATCTTCCGCCGGTGTGGAGGACCCGCGATTCGTTGAAAGAGCGGCACCAAAGTTGGAGGACGAGTTTCCAGAGGGAAGCAGGATTTTCTTTTTGGGTGAACATGCGTATGGGGTTGCGGCGCAAGTCTCGGGGACGACGGATGACAGTTTGAGCGTGGTGCTTGCTGTGAGTATCGAGTTTTCAATCTATGTTATTGCTTGTCGTATTGACTCTTACCAACTAGTTTTTCCCCTCCGACACAACGGAGAACGCCCAGTTCAAATCCATCGTCAACTCCGAGACACTTTCGTCCACATCCCCCTCTCAATCCAGATGGCACCCGGCCTTCACCGCCGCTTCCATCCTGAACATCTCAAATCGAGCGTTATCCAAGATTACCTCGAGCTTCATGATTATCACCTCAGATGGAGTGAAGCATAATCTTGGATTGAGTATCAAGTTTGAGGCCAAGGGGTTGAAGGTAGTGGGGTATTCCAGGAAAGGGAATGGGAACGATGGGATTAGGGGAGGAGGAGCAAGGCAGAATTGGGAGTATAGTGATAAGGCGATAGAGTTGATCAGGGAGTATTTGAATGCGTTCCCGGAGATCTTTATGTGTCTGGATGCGGGTGGGGATGGTGTGTGCTTTCCGCTCTCTCCTCTTTAACGCTATTCATTCTTCTTTCCAGGCATGTTACGAGCCTCTGACGTCCTCTCCGGCACAAACCCTGATCTCCGGGTCAAAGAAATCAAATCCTGGTTAAAGTCCAAAGGTGTTAGGGATTTCGAACCCGTCTCCCTCTCCTGTGACCACCTATCCAAAGACACCGTATCCGAAATCGAGAAAACTCGCAGACTCGTTGACTGCGTCCAAATCATCGACTAGTGCGATCAAGAAGGCGATAGTGAAGGGAATACCTAGGCAAGCGGTGCTTAAACCTTCGCATGCAATGTATAGGCTACAAGGGCAAAGGTTTTCGTTGGGGGATAGGGTGACGATGGTGATGGATTCGGGAGCGGTGCCATTGGCAGCGAAAGGGGTGGTGGTGGGGTTGAATGAGAAGAATATGGATGTGGTATGGGATGTGCCGTTCATGAGTGGGACAACGTTGGGAGATAGGTGCTCCCAGTATCGTGGACTCGCGGTAGAGTTCAACTCGTGTTTGAACCTAAGCGATCCACAATTCGTCACATCGACGAAACCAAGGACACAGGTGAATCCGAGTGCGGCTCCATTCAAATCTCGGTTTGGTTCGCAGCCGCATCGCATCAGCCTTTCGCTGGTGTTCGTCCAGCACCAGCTCATGCTTCAGGACCATCTTCAGCTACAGCGCCGACAACGGCCGTGGCATCAAATAAATCAGTGCACATCATGACCAACCCTAATCGCGGCGCTGGTATCGGATCGCGTGGAGGACGAGGAGGTGGTGGTTTCAGCGCATCTGCAGGGCCTGCTAATCATAGTCGAGGACCTTCAGATGGGTATGCACCGAATGCGGCTGCGAACGGAAATGGATATCCGCATACGCCTAGTACTGCTACGAACGGTGCACCACCACGCGGAAGAGGCCGTGGTGCAGGATTTGGTGCGGGATTCCGTGGAAGAGGTGGCGGCTTCCCCGCTGCGACGTCATTCGACCGCGGGCGCGGTCGAGGATTCAGAG